CCCACTCAGATATTGATCTAGCACTCAGACTGAAATAATAATTAATCTCGGTTTCATCAGACATCTCTCCGAGGCTTCCTCCTGAAAGACAAGCAGACATTCAAAAATGTTTCGAAAAGCAGATTCCACAGCCAGACAGCATGAAGTTCAACATGAAGATGGCTCATTAGATAGTCCCACAAGCGAGCAAGAATCTTCTTCACTGTGAGCCCCAGTTACTTGTCATTGAACAAAAAGAGAAGATATCTTAAATATTGAGCATCTCAGTCCCTTTCCATTCTAGGCTGGTTGTAGCTTAAAACAAAATCGAAGTCCTGTCTCGGGAGCTCAGCTAATTCACTACATCATCAGGGCGCTATTAGCCCTAAATTTGATCTTCCGAGTTTCGTGGCAAGGTCTCTTCATTTAATCTCAGCCGGCAGTGCTCTACGAAATGATGAGTAATCAATTTGGAGAGAACGGCCGAAGACTGTTCATGATTTCACTCCAAACCGTCCGAAGCTCATTTCTCCCTGTCACTCTCCTTCGCTCTCTTGAATGAGCTTAAGAATCCTATTGGATTTCCAATTGGAGGTCTAAATACTCATGAGATATCAAGTTAATCAGTATTCGACCATTCGGATTTGTATAAATTTAACTGACTCTAGAAACTCGTAGAGAGGAAAAATAATTAAATTACAAACAACACAGCAAAGGAAAATAATAAGATTAACATGGAGATGGAAAGACATCTAAGGTTAAAGAAATTGGCATCCTTCAGTGTTCACTCGTACAGCTTTTTTGCTGATTGAGTTCTTGTTGTTTTATCATCTTTCTTCAAACCTTTCTCAACAGTTATCTCATTTTTAGATATAGCTTTAGCAATTGCTTTCATCTTCCGAACATTCTTTGATCTCTTCATTGGTCTTCCCTTTGTCTTTCTGTTTCAAAAGAAGCTCATGATCAAGACAGGGAGAGTAGAAAAAGAAGGGGAAATTAAGCAGGATGCAAAGGGCTGAAAACAAAAACCAAAGGATCAAAATCAGAAGAGGTTTCCGTCTCCTTGGAGGTGAAACTTCAAAATTAAAAATAAAGTACTAGAGCCCTTCAATGTAGAGTTGGAGAGTTTCCATTTGACATATCTAACAGATGCCCATTCCCATGATAATAAATCCGAGCAGCGTACATGCATGCCATAAGAGCAACTTCTAAAACACATGTTTAATCCTAAAACAAACTGTAAAGCACATCTCCAAAATACGAAAAGCTATGAAATTTCATTACAAAAATGCCCATATCCTCTTTTTTATATAGTTAATTGCAGAATTATAACAGCAAAAGCAGTTTATACAAAACAATTATTACAATTTGATATATGCTATGCAGACTATAAACTACAAGCTAGCTTAGTTCAAGTCATAATTAATTATTATAAGCAATTAAGAGAAACCACAAGCTCATTAGCACTGACCTAACAGAAGTAACATGAGCTGGTTTTTGAGCTCCAGACTCTGACGTGTCCATCGCTGCACGTACAATTTTTCAAGCTTCATTTTCTTGGCTTATTATTATTCTTTCTTGGAAACAAAACAGGAGCTATAACAAAATAAAAAAAAAAATATGATGGGTAGAGGTACCTTGAGGAAGATCTGAAACAGTGGGCTCTGTAACGTCCATTGAAACGGCACCGTTCTTCTCCTTCTTCTTGTTTCTGTTTTTCGCCATGGTTGAAGGAGTGTTGAGGGAGTTGAGAGACGGAGAGACTGCAAGGATGGTTAAAAACAAAACCCTAGCTTTTATAAGTGAAAGACCAATGGGCTTTTAGAGTGAAAATAGCCCGACTCAATAACAAAACAGTTTGGGCTAGCTATTACCTGTTTCTTATGGATACCATTCATACACGTCCCGCCATGCTTTCAAAAAATTCATGCTACAAGCAAGTTTGACTCAG